AATGATTTTGAGTACGACAGTGTCGACTGCGGAGAGTCATGGGTGATTGGCGGGTTGGACACTGCAGCGAGTTCGGTTTGCCCACAGACTGATGCCAGGAGGGATCCACGGTGGGGTTGGGTGCCACATGACGCCCCGCTTCTTTGTGGCCGTGTGAAGGTGCCGATGCGTGATGCCATGGGGAATGTATGGACCACGTGTTATATAAACGGCAGCTTCTCATCTAGGCACCTGAACAGGGAGGTGACTGAAGAGGAGAAGATGGTGATGGCTTGTCCCACCCCTGCTGCTCGTTGTTTTTCGCCGCCTCTTCGGATCCCTGTGGAACTCGAGGTGGCAGAGGGGAAAGTGTTCGCGGGTGACCATGGGTACACATACACGCATGCCAGAGGGGAGGACGCTACTGCTGATGGAATAACCACGCTGGTAGGGGACCCAGTCAACCTGAACCCTGACGTTCTGGCTGCCATAGACATTGCGGCCCATGTCATCCCTGAGGGGCAGTTGCAGCAGCATGTGGCCCCTCAGAAGTATGGATATCGTGTGAATTGGGTCCAAGGATGTCTGCAGCCGACAACAGTTGATGGCAAGGTGACCATGGCAGCGAAACTGCAGACAGACCATTAGCTGCCCTTGGGGTGGATGCATGCAGGCATGGTGGAGCAGTGGCAGTTCCTGGTGGTAGTGACACGTGTCTCCATTTTCAATGCAGATGTGAAGGACCACGTGCTGGTTGTGGAGCATGCAAAGCGGTGCTGGGAGAAGATAAGGGAGGAGGACCGTCAGATGGTGTGCATGGGTTACGACTCCATGCCAGACCAGGGGATGTGGTCCATGGTTGAGGGGAGTCCTGGTGGGCAAGGGCAGGGCGATGGCGAGAACAGGTACATGGCTCACATCCGCCGCAGGCATGGTTGCTCCGCCCTTGTTGGTTGGGTCCCGGCCATATGTCGCATGACATACGAGCAAGGTGGAGAGATGATGATGAGGTTCAGGGACCCGCTTGGTGTGCAGTTTCTGCTGACGTACTCGGATGGCCTCCTGCTAGACATTCGGTATATGGTGGCCGAGGACACCCGAGGTGGACATTGGAGGCCGGGACAGACGGAGGAGACGCGCCCGGGACATCAGGACGGTTTGTCTGCTGAGGTGGAGGGCCCATGTGGAGGTGAGCGAGTTGCAGGGTGCTCTGCAGCGCAGGGTGACGTGGCCGGGCCCAACAAGACAGCGATGTCCCACAGCCCGAGGAAGGTGAAGGCGGTTGTGTCGAGGCCGCGGAGAGGGAAGACGGCTGGTGACAAGCAAAAGAAGAACCCCCAGCCTGTGCCACAGACCGGTAACAATGCAGATGCGCCTGCACGGGTCCACAGACGCTGCAGACACCCCGGGATGGCAGCTTTGACAGAGATCAGGAAGCTGCAACGATCCACCGACCTTTGTATCCCTTTTAGGCCCTTCTTGCGCGTCGTCCGCGAGGTGGTGGAGAAGGACATTACCCCTAATAAGGGCCTGAGGTTCCAGATGACGGCTGTGCGT